CTAATTATTTTATTGTATTTGTAGATTTACTATTTAGCTTAACAAAGAAGTCACAAGGTTTCTAATATTTCAATATATAATTCAAACTATTCAACTATTTTAAATAATCTTACCTGGCCCCACTAAAGCAACTATGAAAATTAGTAACATAGTTGTCTTCATGATGATATACTTTTCAATACAAACGATGGTTCTGAAAATACTTAGCTTACTGACGAACTTGGAGAAAATCGTGTGCTTTTATACTGAAAATTTTGGGCGTACCCATTTAACTGTTTTTCAAACTTGAATAGCTAAAAATGATAGCTAATCAAACACTTCATTCTTACTTACATAATAGCTCGTTTGGAAGACGGAATAAGTTTCTGCACGTGTGAGGCTGAGGAGGTTTTTTTTATACTTACTTTAATAAGCTGTTTTTGTGAATAGTGAAAGCTACGAGTTTTTTTTGAAAAATAGTCTTATCAGTGAGACATCCATGTGGAAAGTCTATAAATGTGTGATGTTATTAAAATCTATATTCAAGTTGTATTTTTCTGTGTCAAAGGTTATGCTTTTGCACGTGTAAATTAGTTTTTGGGAAAGCTGAGTAAAAAGTTGTTATTTTGTAGGTTTAATCAATATTGTTGTAATTAAAAAAATGAATTGAAACAAGTCAGCTTAGTTAATGTATGATTAATCTTTATTATCTGATAGGTCTTCAATTTAATAAGCAATAATTAAATACCATTCCACTAATTGTCAATAATTCGTCAAGAATGATTTTCTCAAATATTTCTTTTGAATTGTATTTACTTTTTTATCTGACAACATTGAATAATTGTACTATTAAGGTGGTTCTTTCATGACTTCTGAGTCAAAGGTGCGACTGTCAAGTTGATATTTATCAATACTGCTTAAATTTTAAGCGATTATTTGTTAATATTATTTATTAAGGAAAATTAAGTACTGATTCATGATGATAGTATATTTGGAATTTCATAAGCTTGATTGTGTCAATTTTTTACGTAATTACGTTCAATAAATTAATAGCTAGGCTACAACTTTCAGTAAAAAAATGATTAGTTAATATAAAAGCACATGTTTAGAATTTAATTTTCACTTATCATTTTCTTGCGTTTATATTCGTCAGCCTACTTTGAAATTTTGAGGGGTAGCGTATTGTAACTTAATAAATGATTCCTCAAGATTTCATGCCATTCTGTTCATAAACATTTCATGAAAGAACCACCTTAAAACATATTCTTTTTTTTTACAAGACTTGTGATTGTATATAAGCTTTTAAATATAAATTACTTCTAAGAAAATTAAATGATCAGTCGTGAGTTTGTGTGTGATTACATTTTTTTTTTTTTCATTTTTTTCCTTAAAAAGTAGTATAAATGACTGTAGTCTACGTGTTAGTTTTAACTTTCTTAAATATACTATTTACTTCTGTCAACTTTTTTTTTATGTAAGCATTTTTCTAAGTCTAGTCTGTTAATAGTTTCATGGTATTAGACTTCTTGATGTGAATACTGTGAAGCATCAAGTTTTCGTGATTGACGTAATAACAAGAAGTGATGACCTATACCAACAAATATAATCTCTGGTAGTTTTTGAAGGATTCTGTACAACTATTTTTATACATTAATATTGGAATTGAAATGGCACCGTTCACAAGTTTAGCTAATATATAGAGCTCACATAGGTTTGTAATGCCAGAATTGAAGTTAAGGATAAATCATCTCTTGATAAAAATCGTTCAGTTTACGCAACCACAAACTTTTTTTCTGTTAAACCACCAATTTCAGCATGCTGATAGAGTTCAATTCTTTTTTCTGCTAGCTCTACTAATGTGACGTACTACGCAGGCTGTCATGTATTTCAGCCCTTGGACTGACTGACACTGCATTCATTTCTACAAATTATGTTCCCACAGGTTACAATGCTTGTTAAATAATTCTATCAACTTTTGTATAAGACTTTTATTAATAGTTTCTGACTTTTAACTGAGCTAGGGCAAAAGTTTGTCTAGTCCTTACTATAAAGAACAGCCTTTGTTAGTGTTATTGTGCATTTATTTTCCAGTTATCTTAGTCTCTTATGACTACTGATTATCCTGATCGTCGTTAGAGTGTAAGTTCAACATGTCTGAAACCTATTTGTTTTCAACTATATTGTGGAGCACGCGGTGGCTCAGTCGGCTAGGCCGTGAATCGGCACGCGGGAGACCGTGGTTCGATTCCCGGCCAGTGCGACTTTCCGCGCAAGTACCTGTGTGATTTTTCACATGTGCTTTTTCACCACGCAATGCTCCTCGCGGAGGGTTTAGGCGACCTTCTCGCAGCAAAATTGCCTAATTGTCTCCTACTTCCCTCCTGTAATGGGAGGCCTTCGATCTCTTTTCTTGTCTCTTTCCCAAGTGTTAAGTGCCCTTGGAAGTGCCCTTATTAAAGGAGCTGGACGTAGAGCACTATGATTAAAAAAAAAAAAAAGAAAAAACTACATTGTGGTTAATGTCCGCTTCCTGCATAAAAACCCCCAGCGCCAACTTGTGGCTGAATAGTGAGTCCACATGGTTACAAGGATACACGGAGAAGCATGGTTGCTTAAAGTCAATAATTTTTTCGTTTACATAAAGATCCTTCCTAATAGTCTGATCATCTAAATTAATATCCCTAACTCCTTAACTTTACGATGACTTTTCTTTCACCATGAGATTTTGCTGTTATAAGTTGTTAAAGAGACGTATGTTCCTTTGTTGCTGCTACATGTAAGCTACATTGCATGTGTCAGTAAAGTGTGCAAGAGAGATAGAGCATACTTAGTAGGCATACCTAGTACTAACACATGCAACATAGCTCACAAGGATCTTAGTATTAGTGAAAAAAGTTATTGGCTTTAGGCAACTATGCTACTCAATGTATTCTCGTAACTACCCGGACTCACCACCCAGCCACAAGTTGACGCTGGTGTCTTTGTGCACGAAGCTTATAGAGGTTTTGAATCATAATATATAAGCAATTTAAGAGCTTTAGTTTTTCTTTATTCAATAATATCTTCAAAAATTAAAAACGTTTTTTGAGAATCGAGAGGTCATAAAGGCTTTACAGTATTTTTAAATTTTGTGAAACATCCTTTTCAAACTAAAACATGCAACGAAATCGAGTATAAGATAAAGACTACAAGTTCTAAGAAACTCTTATAAATGTATTGATGATTAGGTATATCTAAATTCGAATGTTATGGTAACAAAATGATTCTGGTCCAGTTTTCCCCAAAAAAATATTGCAAGCTATTATATAATTTTTAAATTAAAACTCTAAGTTATATAATTGCAAATAAATTTTTATTAAACTGATTTGAAGTCATAGGTTAGAACAAAATTATTTAGACTTATAATTTTAAAAATTCCTCAACAATTTTTTTTTTGTTTTCACTATTGACGAAAAAATCTTTTTCTATAAATTATCATTTTGTAAACTACAATGAAATAAATTGCATAAATTCTCTTATGGATCGAAAAAAAGTGTGATAAAAGACAAGCGACAGCCTGAAATATACAATACTTTCACTTTTTTATTCATACCAGCCACTGTGATACTTGAGATCCAACCAGGTTCCTTTTTTAGATTTTACTTAAAGAAGACAAATGTTTTTATATCAATTCGTAAATTCTTCCATCATAAACAATATTTAATATTGGTATAGATTTGTATACAGATTGGCACCATTAAGCGCCTCTCAACGATAGGGTGCCGAGTGTACACCAAACTCCTTTTAAGTGAATCCAAAATTGTACGATTATTTATGAGGAGTTCATCAATGCTGCTGCCTATTAGTAAAAGTAACAATTCAGACGCTGTTAGTATTAACAACAAATATACATTTGGTCCAATTCTTATGTTATTGTTTGTCAGCTTTACGCTGGTATTATTTATTTAATCGTCTTCTAAGTAAAAATGTCCGTTATCCAATTTTTTTACAAATCAACTTTCAAGTCTTTGTCAAGCGCTTTTATTAGACTGTTACAAACTGTTTTTGTAACGTGGTTTAGTATAGATCGGCACTACAAGATAAAGTTTGTACTGAAATAGTTTCTCAACGAACGTAATGCTATACTTCATGCATTCTTATCAATAGTCTTGTAAAAAAAGCCCTAATTCCTTGTCTAAGGGCAAAGCAGATATTTTCAACGAGACGAAATAGTTTGGAAAGTCCATTAAATACAGAATTTGACGTAGGCTAATGAAAAAACAACAGTTAAGAGACAACCAATAATAGAAGCACACTAAGAGTATTATTTAACAACAATTTAAGGGTTAGCTTAGTTTTAAAACTTATTGCACAACTATGAAAGTCAATGAAGTGAAAACCCGCAATGCTCCATCAATTCTCACTTATTTTTTAAAACTTGTTTAAGGTAAGATTTCTTAGTAAAGCGACAAATATGGAGTCAATTAAATATCATCAAATGATTAGCAGGAGCCAAAAAACTCTCATTATGAAACCTCTTGCGTCAATTATTAATCGATAGTTATTGTCTATAACGGGATGTTTAGAAAATAAAAATGATATATTGGTTACTTCACATACAACAAACCTGCTGCACTAATGTTTGTTCTTATAAATCTTTAAAAACATGATAATTATACTGTAAAATAGACGTTTTATTACATATATTATTTTGAAACGATCAATTTAATTACACAATTTATTACAATGACATTACTAAATCCCCGTGTAGTAAAATTAAGGCTGTGTAGTGTGGTCGTGAAACAAAGGCCAAAATAACTGTATAAAAATTGTAGGTTTATGTTCTAATGGTTGTAATAAAATTTGAGATACTAAACAAAAATCGATTTAGTGTTATTCTTAAATTGTTATTTTATTGAAATAGGCATTTTACAACCAACAGTATTTGAAATTTAATTTACAATCAATCGTCTTACTTTTCTCAACACTTCAGCCAGACCTTCTATCATATTTGTAGGTATAAACTATAAATTTTAAAGTGATTACGATCTTCCGTATTTTAGAACTACTCTGTAAAGACCATTTTTAAACTCAAGATCCCAATCACTATTCATTTGAAACATATCGGTGTTTCCAGTTGGGGCGTTATTCATAACCCCGTTGATGAAATCTAAATGAGCCGCAACTTTGATTATCATTAGATGTTGTACCGTAGCTGATGGGTAAAACATACTACATATGACTCCAACAACGGTTTTTCCATCAAAAACGACGGCAGCTCCACTGTCACCCTAAAACATATTCAAAACAATCATTATCGTACAACCAATTATATTCACATTCTCGATGCTATTTCAACTATTTCATTATTAAGAATGGCAAATATTTTTTATTCTTACATGACCAAAGCCGAAATTTTCTGGGTCGGATGGTTGCTTCCTAATTACTCCATGAAAAGTTTTAAACTTTACTTCTCTGTTACTGTCACGTGAGTCTTCAAGTCTTGTTCTTACTGTAACGATCTTAAATAACATATTGTCTCTTTTGACAAGTGGTATGTCAAGAACTACATTGTTTATAATTTCGTTTCCCAGAGGCAATTCAATAAGGCTGATTGGTGAATTTTTTTTAACTTTTAACGGTTGCTTCGTCTGCTCATAAAAACAAACAAGTAAAGCTCCATCAGTGTCTTATAGGACAGTTGAACAAATTTTTTTTAAAACTATTCTCACCTTTATTATAGCAATATCATCAACATCGGTAATATTAGAGTAGAGTTGGAACGTTTTAAGCATGTACAGTTTGTCCGCCAAAACTCGAGTATTTTTCTCCTCTAGATCATTAGTTACGTCTCCCACAATTAAAACTGATAGACTACGATCTTGCATCACTCCTCTAAAGCAATGACCGGCAGTCAAAACGATATCAGGCTTGAGTAGGGCCCCGGTACATCTAGTTTCACAATCGTAATTCCAAGAATTTCCTCGACAACCGATCCTTACGGCAACTGAGTATGAATATGGATGATCGTTGGTCCTACCAAGCAACCTACTTACCATTTTTTGCATTTTTTCAGATTCCAAACCAACGGCTGGAAAAAGATTTCTTGATAGTAAATAGTAGTAAATTTGTATTTTTACTATTTTCAATAAAGAAAATTTTGGAATCCTTTAATGAAAATGATGATTTAGGGGTTTTTTTTGCAAGTGTTGAATATACACTGATAGTCTTTTTTACTGATAATACGTAAATTTCGTCTTTAAAAAAAGGAATATTGTATAACCACATTCAAAAAGTATTATTTAAAAATTACTTTTTTGGAAGTATTAAATTCTCTTTACTACTATTCATTAACAGTATTAGTAGTTTAAGTAGCCTTAAAAAATTATTCATTTCACCTTCCACTGTCGCAAGAGTGTATATTATAATTTGATAAAGTGACTAGTAGTTCTATTTACATAGTCAACGCGACTCTTCTTTAAGTATGAGTCACGATGTTTCCTTGTTGCAATTGGCTTTAACATTACTTGGCAATATATAATGTAAAAATATTTAGCTATTTTCTTACCTGCGCCCATTAAAGCCAGAATAAAAGTTAGTAACAAAGTTGTCTTCATGATGATATACTATTTAATGCCACCGACAGTACTGAAGATAGCTTACTGACTAACTCAGACAAAATTATGTGCTTTTATACTAAAAATTTTAGGTGTACCGTTCAACTTTTTTTGAAACTTGAGTGACTAAAAATAATAGCTCATCAAATACTTCATTGTTAATTACATAATCGCATATTTTTAAGACGCAGTAAGTTACTACACGTGCGGAGCTAAGGTGGTTTTTATCACACATACTTAATAAGCCGTTTTGTGAATAGTGAAAGGTACGTTTTTTTCTTTTTTTTTTGAAAACAGCCTTATCATTTAAACATGTAAGTAAAAAGTGCACAAATGGGTGCTTTTATCTAAACTTCTATTAAACTGGTTGTTTTTTTGTTTAAATATTATGACATACATGGCAGTTCGTTTTTTTAAATGTTCGATAAAAAAATTAACTTTATATTATTTTTGAGTTAATATTTACCAATTTAATTTTAATTAAATCTCAAGAAAAACTTTTTATCTATGCCCTGATGGTAATTATTGATAAGTATGAAAAAAAAGCAATTACTATTATTACTTGTTGATCTTTTATTGGTAGGCACTTTAAAACTTACAACTGATACTTTTTAGAATGTAATTTTTCGTTATCTCTTACATTTTTTTAAACTTAAGTCTGCGTTTCTGTCATGCTTGCTANAAATATGATTTTAGTTTTTATGAGCTCGAATATTCCTTATTAAGTTTAAAGAGTAGTAAAAACTATATTTTAGATTGCCAATATTTTGAACAAAAATTAATCATTAATACCTCAAACTTAGTATTAATTACGTAATCGCTTAACACTTAAAATACCATATAATTTAATCAGAATGATTTTCCAAAAAGTCGAATAGTGTAGAGTAGCATTAGAGTGCGCTCACACATGGAGTTGGAAATACTTCCAACTGAAAAATCCCACGGGAAATTCGAATTATGTTTAAATTTTTATATATTAAACTAATCCCATACATCGTTTAATAACTTTTATGTAGACATCAAAGAGTAGATAAGTAGGGTCACTCCCGTAACCTAACAATTAGAGCTACATTTAAGTGTCAAAAAATTTCATCTTACTCATTGTACTACAAATAAAAGTTTATAGAACAATGCTATGTATTGTAATAAATTTTACTTAATTTATGTTATCATTTTGATTTACAAAAGTACAAACATAATTTAAATTTCTACTTTCAACTCTATGTGAGCATATCCTATTTGATGTTCAGTTGTTTACTCCTTCTAAATATGCAACTCAACGAGAAACTGTATTTGTTTTAGTTACTATGAAATTTAATTCAGCACCATTATAATATGCAGATGTATTGTTATAATATCTATAATATTCAACGTATGCATTTAATTTGAAACTTTTTTTTTATTACTTGTTTATTTACATAAAAAGTACGAAAAAAAGTTACTTGATTGATGGCGACATAAAAAACGTACACGTTGTATGAAATACAGTAGTTGCAAAACTTTATATTGTTACTCGTATATGCCTACTAAATAATATAAAATACATGAATATTTATGTGAGTAGTTAAAAAAGTAGTGCCAACGACTCAGATCGTGAAAAGTGCGTCCAACATTACTAATCAAATTGAACGTTTAATAAAATGTATGAGTTATAACTTATAAATAAGAGACTTGTAGCTACATAAAGGTAATTGTCAGATGTTGATATAATCATTCTGATGAAATTTTGATGCATGATTTCTAGTACTTGGAGTAAAAAATACAATTCTATAACAATCTCATACAGATTCTTGTACCCTTGATGCGAACCTAGAAGCTACGTATTATAATTGCATTTGATGCTAATAAGTTTTATCATTCATGCTGACAGCTGAGACATATTTAATAATAAATTGTATGGGATGGAGTCAAACAAAATTTACAAGTCAATAATTCGAATTAGAAAAGCTTAATTGTTAACTTGGTGCCTTACATCAAAGATCATAGTAATTCAAAGTAAATAATAAGAGTCAAAGACAAGGAGTATAACATCGATTGAGATGCAAAATAATTCATAGCCCATGTTTGAATAACTGTCGTATTAATTAAAAAACATAAAGTAAACAGAAGTTTTTACGTCAGTTGCATGCGTCAGTAAAATCAACGATTTTACATTTCATTTTTTAGATACAAAGATTTTTAGTTATCTCCTGCTACTATAAACAAGCTCAACATTAAAAGAAATCACTCGCTTACAACACAACGGCATCGCGTAAAGCATAATTATGGCTTTGCTTCCGAATATAAATGGACAAGTGAGTCCAAACTCATATCCTGTAGAGGTAAACATCTGCATAAGCTGGATTAGTGCTTACTTATATTCTCTCCATCATGTGATTTGGTTTATGACATTACGTTTTTTGTCCATAATCATAATAATATCTTAACTTTAACAATAACTAAACAATAAGTATATATAACATTTCCATGATAGTTCTTTTTTAAACTCTATGGACAAAATGATGATGGATCTACTTATCTTCAGTAACTATTATTTTTGACATTTAAAAGTCATAATCTTGGTTTGATAAAAAAAGTGCTTTAAAATTTTTTGTCTTTATCATGAAATTATAAAATTATTAAAACTTCTACAATTTTAGTACTGATACTGTAGCCTACTACTTGTCTATTAATACACTAGGGCGTGGCAATGGCACACGCAACGCTACAGTCTTTTAGATGAGTAATATTTTTTAATGCGGACTGAGATTGATAACAGCTGCTGGTGTTACTAGGTAGGTGTGTACTTATGAGATAAAAAATGAATTAGTAAAATTAAAAACCATTTATACTTTTACTTAAGACTTTTTAAATTTTTTTAGGAATATCGATAAGCATTTAGACTAATATATCTCAACCAAAATTTAAACTCTAGTATCATGCAGTTTAATCATCTTTTAAAAACTTCTTACACCGTTGCTTTCTAATTTTAGACCAGCAGAGAACTTATTTGTTTTTTTCACTATTTTAAGACTTTTTGGACTCGGAGGTCTATTCAAACATTTATTACAGACTCTATGCTCTATGGCAGTTTAACTTAGGAAGTTGAATTAACCCCTAACTCCCCTACCTTCCCTTATTTACTCCCCGCATTTGTCCATGGTAATGGAGATATGACTCATGGCTGACCCTGTGCAGTTCATCCTGCAGGTAATCTTACAAGACTTTCTTCTGATAAAGTTTTCTGCACTTGAGGAGTTTCTACAGAATCTTGCAGGATTCCTTCATTATCCTCGTAGGATTGCAGTAGGCTTTACTGTAGACTTCTTTTTTGAAGAACAAAAGGAGACAAGCATTTTTTAGTTTACCTAAAAATTAAGAATAATCTTACGCAATAAAAGGCTAAAAAAAGGACAGTCCCACAATTTCTTCAGCTCTCTTTTTCGAACACAGCATCTTTTACTGGTGACACATTTTTCCCTCGATTTCTTTTCCCTCCAATGCCATCGGTTCATCTCGCACCCAACAAGTTTCCGCGCGTATCATCGCCACGTGCGAATCTAGGTTCGATTTCTCCTGTTCCCAAGAAAACGCCCATTCATATGATCGTCTGGCTGACTGACTACTCTCTCCATTTCTATTTGGCATCGACAACCAAGGAAGGAAAAGAAAGACACACCCGCTCCAGTTAGGATTGGAAACCAAAGCCCCCATAATATAAGTACGCATGAATTTCCCCTGATTTATTTTCAACATCGCCATACCTATTAAAGTTATTTATTTTCGAGCTGTTGACGATCCTAGCAAAAATTATTTATTATGTGTAAGTTACACATAATACATGATGCAAGTCTCTTTATTTGTTTCATGTGATTTATCCTTGCAAAATTAGAGGTTTACGATGTTTGATTATTTTGTGTTGCAACAGCATTTGTACGGTTTATTAATCAATCCTAAAATACTAAGAAATCCGAATTTGATGGGCCCATTATTACCTTGGATTCTAAATTTCATGAAAAAAAAGTTACTTCGCAAACTATCTCCATATTTTAAACAGTAAAATTTATAATGCGTCTAGTATTTCGCTATGTTCCGTATAAGATAAAGTTTTGTCATCGATAAAATTAAAAAAAAAAAATGTCTTAAAAGTAAAGCCTTAAAACATTACAAAAAAGTTGTGATGAAATTGTAAAAAGATTTTAGATGCCTTGAAATCACTTCTGATTCGGGACGTATATGTATGTATGTACGTAGTGTTGACGTTTCGTTGTAACACGATTGGACAGTGCTTTTCTTTATAAGTTTGGCCTTGAGCTGATATCACTTACATAACAACAGTGATAAAAACGTGGTTAATCGACTAAAAACATCGTGAGCTTTATGTTATGCCAGATTAAATGGTATATTTTCGCATTTGTCAATCTTCTTATTGATTCAGTTAATACACTGATCACTATCTGGAAATTAAAAAAAAAAAATAAATGATGTTCCGTAGACAGGCAAACAAAGACACGCAGTTGGTTTCTTTATTCCAAGTAGATGATTTTGAGATCAAAATTTTTGAACAAACTTTTAAATGGCTTTTTTTCAACGTACTTTATTCGAGGTTTTCTCAAGTGTGATTTTCAAAAACCTTTATGTAAATCGATGATTCTTAATGCGCATCACTTGTAGATATAAAGTGTATTTATATCTTCACAGATCTTCACACGTTGCCTCTGTGTGAGTACACTGAACAAATGGGTTTTTAGTTATGGGTTTGAATGAATTTTGTGAGTCAAAATTAAAAAAAGTTTGTAAGTCTGTACTACGATGATTCTTCGTTTTTAAAAAATTTAATTTATTAAATTATCTTTTTTTTGGCCAAAAAGTCAAATTTAAAGTAAAAATTACGGTAACATCAGTACATATAACATGTAGGTTGTGTATACGTAACATAGGATTATTTAGCAAGATAAAAATAGACGTACTACGAAGCAGAAAATGATTAATGACCAGTCAACACTATTAGAAAAGCATAA